GGTTAGAAGAAAGAGTATGTAAGTAGTAGTCAATAATAGTGAAGACTGCGCCATGCCTATTACACATTGCAACAATATTTGATACTTGAAAGATCTTATATATTAGAAGATGTTCGCATTTAGAACAGATGTAAAGAATAAACAGTGAAAAAGGTTTGTTGGTGTGATAAGGTTTGAAATAAGACAGATATTTAAGAACAATCGCATTAAATATTGTATAAGATATTAATAAAATTATCTATAAAAAAAACAAAAAAAACGAAACGAGGATGACCATCTGCTTCGAATTTTGATTCCGTCTTAACATCATTGCGTGATAAAGATTTGGCCTTATAACGAACGTGTACTCTTTAAATCTTGGTAGTAAATATCGATTTAACAAACATTTAGATAGTATATTTTTTTTATTGCATATTCCTTATGGGTAAACTTAAAAAAAACCATCATCGCTCCATTTCTTTTTATATTATTACGAAAATTTATTTTTTTTAATTATTTTATAAAGAAATAATGTTTATTAAAAAAAAGGTTTATTTGATAATTGATAATTGTTTATTTTTCTAATTAAATAAGAAGACAATTGATACAGTATACCAATCATAAAATTGTTTTTGGTTAAATAAAATCATATTTTTTGTACTTATTTTGTAATAAATATATACTGTATATTTGAATTATTAATTAACATAATCTTACTTAATTGAAAATAAACTTAATTGAAATAAACTTAATTGAAATAATAGATTGAATATTTTAATTTGAAACATATTTATTGTATACTGTATACTGTATAGCCTTTAATAATAATATTTGTTGTATATTATATATAGTATTTATAATTTAATTTTATAAAAAACTTAAATTTTATTTTATTTTAATAGTATATTATTTAAAAAAATATACAGTATTTTATTTTATCATTTTGATAAATTATAATTAATTAAAGATATATACAATTCTTTATTTAAATTTTGTAATTAATAGTATTTATACTGGGATAAAATTATAATTTATAGTTATAATTAAAATATAGTTTATAATTAAAATTAATTTATTACTTTTATAAAAAAAATTTTTTTAAAGTATTAATTATTAAATTATATATATCTATTTTATTCATTTAGAATTATAAAAAAAATATATAATTTATTATTCAAAATAAAAATAAATTTCTAAAATAATAACAATTAAATTATAAATAATACATACCGTATAATATTGTTTAGTTATTTATTAATAAATTTCACGTGTTTTTAGTCAAAAATATCACTGGATTGGCACACGGCGATCCGATCTGTTGCGTGATGTATACATAAATTGCGCCCGTTTTCCCCCCACCCCACACCGCTGCCTTCTCAAAAATGTCAGATAACTCGGATTACGTCTTTGTTTTCACAGCATCTGATGCCTCCTCCTCGGGATATCAGAACTTCTTCCAACCCAACAGTTCTGTTCCCAGGCGCACTTATGCAGCAACCATGAATTCAAACTTTCCTGAAAATGATAATTACGGTCAACCATCAACCACCAACAACTCATTACCACCAAGTTATGAGGAAGCTATTGCCAATTCAGTAAATCCTTCGACGTTCACCGTAACACCAGTGGCTCAATCTGTAAGTGCAAGGCCACTTGAACGAATATTCGTTGTACCTAATGATTTGGAAGAAGAAGGCGCATGTCTACTTACAAAAAACGACAATAATGGATCAGATGTAGATAAATCAAAATTGTCTTTGAACGATGGAATGGATCATGGTGAAGGCGGTAGCTCATATAATCGAGAAATACCGTCTCAAACACTCGATGATGGTGCGACTTCCTTAGACATGAATTCGCCGCCACCCAAATATACAATATCGGATGCAGAATTTCAGGTTTCAGATAATGGTGTTTCCTCTTCTGATCCCAAATTAAACCGAGAGGCGGAATCTCTGTATAGATTTTTCATTGCTCATAACGATAAACCGCAAATGGCCATATCAATTCATGGTAGGAAATTTTCCGAGACTTTATGCGTTCTCGGCTTTTTTTTTTGTTTTAATAAAAAATGATTTAAAAATTGGTTTCAAGGTTACCATTCAGAGTGGGTGGAGGAAAGTTACACATATACGGATGATGGTGGAAATACGAAATGGGCAACCAGGTCAAAACATATTGAAGTCACGGATTTCAAGTTTACTTGTGACTTGACAGATTATATTTTACCTAATGGAGAAATACATCTATCGGCCGACAAGAGTCCTGAAATGGACATTATGCAATTATTGAAAGAATATGTGGAGAATAAAAATATCTTGAAGGAAATTGAAATGCGAAAGGTATATTTTAAATTGGTTTCCGAAGACAGATCCTAACATCATGATTCATCATCACTGACCTTTTTTTTCGAATAGGTGGTACTTTGGGATTATGAATCGCTAACGAAAGCAATTTCTTCAACGATTCGAAGTCAGGGTTATCGCAATGATATTCGTATAACTTATCCGATGCGTAATCATATAGTTGTCGTTCAATCAGATCACAAATTTGCTAGGCTCACGAGAAAATTCTGGTTTAAATTTTTGTGCTTTATCACGTGCCTATGGATCATTTTGTTGCCATTATCATGGTTATATAAGAAATCGTACAAGAATCAGTTGAGAAGTGATTTTCAAATGAATATTGGCCCAAGAGATTGGTTCCAGCAAAATGCTGGAACGATTGTAGCTAATGTAAAATGGCTCTAGCAAAGGAATAATGGAAGAAAGAAAGAGTAGTTGTTCAATATTTCTTTTCGTGATAATATAAAAGGTTTTTTCATTCCCACATCGACAAATAAATAATCATCATCGTTACATGCAACCATACATTTTTTTATTTATCATCTTTCTTTACGTTTTCTTCAAGAGCTATTTGTCTTGTATCATATACTTTGTGAAAGATGTAAAAGAATCGACAAGTTAGGAAACGCGTCGGAAGTGTTAAAGTTTATTCAAAAATAAATTAATGCGGTCTTACGCACTTGGTTTGTCGGATTCGGCAACTTTTTTCATCATTCCCAGTATTGCGGCGTTGTGTTCTCGTATCTTTGTTTTGTCACTGATCCGCTTTTTATGTTCTGGCGACAATTTCTAACGATTTTTTTTTTTTCGAAAAAGGATCGTTAAATTTCATCGTTTCTGTTTAATCAGCAAACAGATTTTCTGGGACAAATTTTCCATTAATATAAAAAAAAAAACAGAATTAATACGTGCAGCGTAATACTCTTCTTCGGTAGGGGTGCTCAACCTCATCAGCATGTACCCGAAACCAACAATCAAACCACCTGCAGCCAATGCTTTTGCGTATATTAGACCTCTGGACATTTTACTATTCGCCCAAAGAGAAATTTAAAGATGAGTAATACAAATTCTGATCAACGCAACCATATAAAAAAAAATACAAGTTATTCCGAATATGGAATGCAAAAATGTGTATCACATTAACATGGATAACAGTACAGTACGTATGCGTATCCTGTAATGGAATAATTTAATTACAACCAAAACCATTATAAAAAAAAGAATTTAAATTTTTAAATAAATTTATTTTTTTGTTAAAATGAAAACCATCGTTGCAATGCTATAATTCAATTACAGTACTGAAATTACTGTAATTGTAAATTTCATGTAAAAAGGTTGACGATTTCGTGTCTTTTCCATAACACCGCTTCAGAAGATAACAGTCAGATAATAAATAACTCGATTGTAATCTAACCGGCGGACGATATATACGATAGATACAATGCAATGCTTACCGATATCTTTGGGATCTCTTTCATGTTTATCCCTGATACTTATGTTCACACGACACTCACCCATAAAGTATTTTGCTACCTCCAGATTCCCTTCTTTACATGCGTGGTGAAGAGGGGTCCATCCGTCCCAGTCGTCTTGAATATTCATATCCACACCGAATCCAATTAATAGCTTTATCATATCCACATTTCCAACCATTGA